TATGCATTTTAAGTATGTACATTGTATAATACAAGTAGTGTAGAGTTATTCAAATATTGTCCACTTAATCTTTTACTTCATCACGAACATAGATGTCTGGAGAATACATCACATCAGTCCGAATAGCGTATTTTCTTCCCGATTCCAGAACAGAACCTTCATGAAGGATATCATGTTGAAATACCAAGATACGACCTAGACATAAAGACAAACAGAATGTTAAACATACTTGCTGTTTAGTACGTAAAATCCGTATTAGAAGCCGCATCCCTAATAGAAGTCGGCCCATTCTTTTTGAATAATTGAGAACCAAAAGTTCATCATTTCTCATATTTGTAGATGCTCTGATAGAAGCCGCATCCTCTCTATTGCATTGTACCATTTTAATAGAAGTCGCGGCTTCTAATACAGATTTTACAGTATTGAACAAATCACTCATTCATTCAATTGCACATCACCAACCATTGCAAAATTGGAGTCAGTGTAAATTATCTAGCAATATTTACGACACATGTGGTTGGTTTATCAGAATGATTTGATAGATCAGAAAAAAACACATCTAATGTAATATGAGCTGCAAGCCCAACTTACCAATTTTAGGAATACATTTGACACTCCTTGAGCTGTCATCTAATGGTAAAAATGTTGTAGCACCTCCCTCAAATCCCTGCAAGAAACACATATATAGTGGATATTTCATGAGTAACCTTCAATATAAGATTTATTGAATAAGTGTATCGGTAGTACGGTAGTTTTTATTTGTTTCTCACTAAAGGCTTGGAAGAACAGAAAATTACTACACAAGTTTATTAAATTAGATTTTGGAATTGGTCCCCAATTTGACATCCAGTTTATATGAAGGTTATAAAAACTAATGCAGACATCATAGAGCTTTAATTCTGACAACTGAATCACTATTTAATGAAGAAAGGGTGAGGAGAATTTGATATTGTTCATATGGTCCTTTTCTCACTCTTTCATACCAGTTAAAATTACTCAGTTGGGGATCATGTCACTTTCCCCGATAGAGGGCGCTATACACCACAGTATGGTACTCACGGTGATATACACCATTCACAAACTTAACAATAATTTACTCTATATTAAAATGTGAAACAAAGCAAACAAATCATAATATCAGATGAAAAAACAGTATGAGCAATCATTTTACCTCGTTTAAATACAATTGCACTGTAATGTAACTGCGTTCCTTGTTATCTCGCTGGTAAGAACCATCCCAGTGGGGAGCAAAATACTCGCCTTCATCATATCGCAAAACTCGCAACCTGCAAAAGTAATTAATTATATTATAAAGAATTATTACAGATTTAGGAATGATATTGATTAAATATTATCAAAAGAAGCATTAATTTATATATAAATTTATATTTTGAGCATTGAACCATTCTTTTGTCACTATGGCCCCTAACATTTTCAACTTAAACTTAATTAATTTCACATTAATTAATATGCTTAAATATAATAATATATTTAATTGAAAGCATAAACATACATGAAATGTATGCTTGTCAGTAGAAATAAATTAATAGTTTGCACAACACTGTGATTGAAAAACATTATTCATATTATGGGATGGGGCAATTAGAGACAACTACGTCAAATAAACACAATAATCTGCTTCATCATTTCTACCTTTCATTAAGTCCCAATGCTTCATGTCCATTCCATACTCTTGGCACAAACTGTTTTATTCTTTCCCAAATATTTTCACTTTCTTCAAAACTATCGATGTAGCACCGAGAATTATTACGAACTTCAGGAGCTGATTTTTGTCTGCAAAAAAAAAAAATAATTGATTGTTCACATAATATGTAAATACTGTAGAATACTTTATTTTCGCTTGGAATTTATTTTCGCTGAAGGGATTATTCCGTGAAAATAAAATCCAGCGAATATACTTTTTTTTCCTATATTTCACATTAAACTTATCAAAAATCAGTGAAAATAAATTCCATAAAAAAAGCCCAAAAAGCCTTTTCAGTAAAAATTAATTCCAGTGAAAATAAAGTATTCCACAGTAGTTCAAAGATTCAACTTTATATTTGTCTATAAGTAAAAAACACAGTGACTTGATTGTAAAATTGTGATGTATACACAGTATC